CGAGGTAAGCAGAGTAGCACATGTTCAGAATCGGCCGGATGGGAACTTCACTTTATTGTACTTTGAGAAGCCCATACAACCATGGCATCGTAGTGCCTGTTACACGAACTTTTCCAAACGTGGCGATATCTCCAGTACCCTTTTGTTTCATCATTCATATTGCCTCAGAAAGGACCTTTTCAATCGGAGTGTTTTGTCATTTTCTCGGGATACAATTTTGTGAATTTTGATCCATCGTTTAGAATCGTGTCCATCTGGTCGACGTAGTTCCAATTTATTAAATACGACAATACCAAATCTCTTTTCTGACTACGTTACGATGATTTCTGAGTCTCTTTGTAACTCTCTCTTGGTTTCTTTATATGTTCTTCCGCCACTAATTCATTAGTCAATTATTTGGCACCCTGATGTGGATAACAAGTATTGACCAGATTAAACTCAAGTTATTCCGCTTCCAACCGAGATGACGCATACAAGGCTGATAACTGCGCACAAAGGTTTTCAAACTCAATCTCCATATCCAGTTGCTTGATTTTTCTCTCTGAACAGCATAACTTCAGCCCCGAGGATAACACTTGAAGGGATTATTTGAACGTTCATTTAGTCTTCTCGCAAAAATCACACTAGCACGTCATGGGGAAACAGAACACTTCGGGGTGAACATTTGTCGCTGAGTAACGTATTCATTAAAGAAAATTTATCCATCGCCAAGGTCAACGGTTTATGATAAATTGGTTGGGCTATATCTCTACTTAACTTTAGCTATCCTATGATGAAGAACAAGGATGGTGGTCTCGACCGAACACTGTTTCCCAGAGCGCGAGAAAAATGAGGAACGTGGACGCCTCCACAAAATAGTACCTTGTGCGTTCATTTTGATGTACTAAAAAAATATATTTAAAAAGAAAGTTGCAGCTGAGATGAGAATGATCCCACAGCAGCCGTTTTGAAGGTGACGATAGCAGTTGGCTGTTTACCAAGTTTTTAACCCCGACTGTTAAATGAAACCGTATTTCAATTGAACCTAACGGTTGGCACTACTCCTGACGAAGGGCGCATCGGTTCTTTGCCAGTAATTCAACTTTCTGCCACTGCTCATGTTCGGCCATCTGCAAGACAGCGAAAAACCTGCGCCATCAACTAATTGACCCAACACATTTTGGTATAGCTTCAGAAAAGTGCTCTTTAAAACTACATAAGAGTGCTACGTCCTAGATGACGTGCAACAAACTCCGCTTATCTCTCACACAAATTAAGTGTTCCGAACGAATTCTGTCGCCATGCTTGGTGATGCCTTCCGATGCGTTCCTACACGTGATAGACAACATCAAATGTTTTTCGAGGCATTGATCGTTTGCGTGGTCATGTTTAAATGCACAAACAACGTGAACGGTCTACCATTTTGTCATTATCTTCATAGTCAAGGTGTTTTATAGGATTGATTGTGTGCATTCTTTCCTTGATCCAGTGTATCAAACCTTCTAACTTTATGCCGATCATGTCTTGTGCACAAATATTGAAGGGATAATGTACAAACCTGTGTCTTGCACACGCTTTTAACGTTTTTTGTAGAAACTTTCCGGACGGCATCCGGTGTTTTTTCAATTAACTCTATGGCCAAATATGACATAAGCCGGTTGCAGAAATTTAGCTAAACAGCAGAATGTGCCTCTCTCTGTTCAATAAGTCCATGGGTGCTAACACAGCTCCGAGAATCAGCACCTTTCAAGGACACACTGCATTCAATCAGTCAAGAACAGCACGAGTAACTCAACTGCTGGAGCGAAGCTTGATGATCGTCAGTAGATTTCTATGTTCCGTACTGATAAATAACTACTGTTTTCCGGTTACCGTACCATGCATTAGCATCCGAAATTCGGACACAGAGTGAGTGAGAACAACGAATCCAGAATAAAATCACTAATCATACCGGAATCAGGGTTGCGTAACACAGGAAAGGAAGGATTTGGGAGAGACAGAGAAAGTGGTTGACCGATTCTCAATTATTTTGGGTGGGGGAGGGGGAGGGTTTGCNGAAAAAAAAGAAGGCATGGACTTGAAGAAGAAGAAGAAGAAGCTTAGCTTGCAAGTAGTTATCATGGTTTCATTGTTCCATGTTGTGTGTATATATGTACATAAAGACATACACACAAACTGACAGAAAAATAAAAACACAAATATGTACCTATGCGGTCAGGGTGTAGGTCATAGCATACACACAAATATAGAGGGAGGAAGAGAGAGAAAGGAATAGGATGGATACGAGTGGTTGCAACAGAGGGAATGCCAGCACGGTATGTTTGACAATCCATTTCAATCTGAAAGAGACGGGAGATGAAACGACAAGTTTCATACACAAACGTGTATCCGTCTGAAAACAGCCCATTGTCGTGCTTTAGCTTTCACCGCATCAATGCATTTATGTCTCGGTTGTCGGTGTGTGTTGAATTAACTTCCGCGGGTGTAGTTCCAGCTTCGAAAAAGCGAAAGGCATGGCAGTAACCGTGACAGAATAAAAATAATGGACCACATTCGGATGGCATGCCCGACACCGAGCTATCGGGGATGATCAATCGTAAACAAAACACAGGGTGAGGGGTTGAATACCGATTCAGTGTACCGGGTCATTGGCTAGAGACACCGATCTGGACGGAGATTTAGCGCAGAGATATAATCATCGGTATCATCAACAGTACGGCTATATTGATGAGAACGTTTTCAGTCTAGCCGATGGTCGTGTGAGGTTCAGTGTTGTCGGTAGTGGGGGAAAATTGAGACTAGTTGCTCAAGAATGTGTCTAAGCTTCGTATCCAGTTAAACGAAAGAGAAGGGAGTGGAGTGGGTCAGGCGTGGATTGAAGGTTTGTGTGAGGCAATGTCGTGGGTTGAAACAGATCATTAACCAATAGCATGTCAATTGGGTATTATTAAGTCAGTCGAATCATTCGGTAGCAATTGGTGAAACACCAACAGGCGTATCTGAGGTAACCAGGATTTGAACGAGGAAAAGCATTGGGAAGAAAAAAATAACATCAAGGTTCACACATTTATGTATGCGCATATGTATGCATGCGTCAATGGAGATAGGAACAGTCACGTGCACACAACTGTATGTGACCTTGTGATACGCGTATGAACTGGTCGTGTATTTCTCTGCGCTGAAAGTGTCCTTTGAAAATAATCGAATTAAACTATAGTTCAGTCGCGATTCAGTTTTATTTCATCATGTTCGTGGTAGAACAGATTTGGATGCCGAAAAAAATGAGGTGGAATTTAGAGTAGGAATGGGGGGGGGGAGAGTGAAGTTGATGAGGAAAGTAGGCTGTTCATGGCACAGTTGTATCCAATAATTTGAGTCAATAAACACAAAATTGGACTTGATGGTAGTCACGTAATCAGAGTAGTGGGATCACTTCCGTTACTGCATGTATGAAGGAGGCCTTGTGTGCAATCTGATCGGGTCGCTGATGTATACACAAATAGCGGTTTGTACGATTAGCATGGGCATAGTATTGACTACATAATCAGTCATGTAATCAATCATCCAAGTAATCAATGCATGAATGATTAAAAATAATTCATTGTGTGATCAGAACGAAAGCTGGTGTGGCTGGATTTGTCTAAATCCACCGATTTCCGGGGGTTCGGGTGGGGGGCTGAGGAAGGAAAGAAGGAACTAAACAATTGTTGTTGCTTTTGATCGCCGGATGTCGAGCAGTAAAATAAACCATAAACATGTTAAATTTCAAACTGATTTGATTGTGGTCGATGGAGCGGGAATCTGATAGGCGCTTGTATACCAAAATTTAAAAGCAGAAAATAAAATGGAATAAAACAACGGGATGTGGACGGGGATGGGACACAAGAAACAGGGTTTGAGAAACACACGTCGGCAAGCACCTTTAAGCCGTCCAGGTAAGCAAGCTCACCACCCGGCGGACAGCCAGACACTCAGATCCATGTGACGTAATAAACACACACACACAGAAAGGTCATAAAATGTAACACGACGGATAGGAAAGGGATAGAGGGGGATCATAGAGTAAAACATTCTACTAGAACCACAGCCGCAAGAAAAGCAAACTACCGAACACAAGGACATTTGATAAGAAAGGTGAAGCGAATCGTGAAATCGCAAAGTTTCCCTCTGATTCCTCCTCTCCAGTTTGTTCACCAGCAGCATCAATTAGTCCGGGGCCAGCAGCAGCCACCGGACGTTGAGGCTCCTGTTCATCCTCCGTTTTCACTTTGGGATCTGTGACAATCAATACAGAGTAAATTAATTGGTAATCATGCCGACGTTTGGGAAAGTTCGTGACATAAATAATTTATCATATTCACATATCGGTTATTGATAATTTAAGTTCACCGTTTTGTTCAACAGTGAAGCTAGCCAGCATTCGAGAAAAGACCTAGGGGTGTTCAGTACATGCATCTCCCAGTCTTTGCACCAATGGCATACAAACTTGAATCAGTGAGAACTCTCGGCACCAGACACTTTCTGAGAGGAAGAAAACGTTAATCGCACAATACTTGTACGCAAAGATTGCCTTGAAAAATTCAATGCTATTCATAGACGACGAAAATGTCAAGGTAATCCGATCCTCACAGCCAGTTATGTGGTGACATTTGATGTCTGTTAGAAGGGAATGACATGCACACGCAAACTGTGAAACATTGTTGGCTTTCAGAAGTATGTATTACACGCGAGTAATGATTAATAGCGTCCGGGTTGGGAAGACACTGTTTGAGGTCAAGAGACTGCATCACGAAGATGGGAAACCTCAAATAATTAGTCAGTCTATTTATTCAAACAGATTTAAGCAATTTTAACTAGTTTTCCTATTATTGGTATTTGTTTTCACAACAGTTCACTTTTCAATGACTACGTTACCACATATATAAATTGCAACCTTGACAGGTTCAAACGAAATAGTTAAATCAACCCGGGTGTAGCCAAACTCCTTCACAAGCCTAAAACTATCATGCACCACGATTTCCGGTATTTTTCCAGATAAGCTTCATACTGAACAACTTCCGATGGCATTCATTAGTTTTTCTTTCTCAGGCAAATCCTTTCCGGAGCTCA